GGATTTAATTTCTTCTGGAGTTATGGCCCTTGTTTCACTTTGTTACACCTTGTGAACGGTCTAACGACAAAAGTTATCAACCGATCTGTATCAAATTTATATGCATCATTTAAATTAGTAAAAAAAAGAAGCCTATTGAATTTCAGCAATGTTGTGAAAGCTCTAATGACAAAGGTTATCATCCGATCTGTTTGAAATTGATATGCATCATCTAAATTAGTAAAACAATGAAGCCTATTGAATTTCAGCAATTTCTGTTAATTACGCCGTGAGTTATGGCCCTTGTTTCACTTTGTTGTACCTTGTGAATGCTCTAACGACAAAAGTTATTATCCGATCTGTATGAAATTTATATGCATCATTTAAATTAGTAAAACAAAGAAGCCTATTGAATTTCAGCCATTTGTTTTAATTACATCTAGAGTTATGACCCTTGTTTCACTTTATTGAATCTTGTGAACGCTCTCTAATGACAACAGTTATCATCTGAGCTGTTTAAAATTGATATGCATCATTTAAATTAGTGCAAAGAAGAAGCCTATTGAATTTCAGCAATTTCCGTTAATTACGCCAGGAGTTATGGCCCTTGTTTCACTTTGCTGTACCATGTGAATGCTCTAGCGACAAAAGTTATTATCCGATCTGTATGAAATTTATATGCATCATTTAAATTAGTAAAACAAAGAAGCCTATTGAATTTTAGCAATTTCCATTAATTACATCTAGAGTTATGGCCCTTGTTTCACTTTGTTGAATCTTGTGAACACTCTAATGGCAACAGTTATCATCCGATCTGTTTGAAATTGATATGCATCATTTAAATTAGTGCAACGAAGAAGCCTGTTGAATTTCAGCAATTTCCGTTAATTACAACGTGAGTTATGGCCCTTGTTTCACTTTGTTGTACCTTGTGAATGCTCTAACAACAAAAGTTATTATCTGATCTGTATGAAATTTATATGTATGGCCCTTGTTTAGCTTTGTTGAATCTTGTGAATGCTTGAACGACAAAAGTTATCACCTAATCTGTATGAAATTCATATGAATCATTTAAATTAGTGAAATGAAGAAGCCTATTGAATGTCAGCAATTTCCGTCAATTACTTCTAGAGTTATGGTTCGAATTTTGTGAAAATTTGGCCAAAACTGCCAGATAAAATGGCCGCCCCTCGTACACAAATAGTGTATAACATCTGTTATATCAAGGTTGTGGACCCTGTAGAGGTCACAATTTTGATCCGATTTTGATGAAACTTGAAATACATGTTTATAACTCAAAGATCTTGGTTCCTTTCGATATTCGCGCGTATTGGATTGTATCATCCTGAATTATGGCCCTTGAATGTAGAAAAAATCATGTTTTTAGCTTGCGGTCCATATAGAGTCCATATTATCTTTTGATAATCGCGTATATCCGAAGTAACTTCCTGGATTATGGCTCCTGATTGTTCGAAAAATCGCATTTTTAGCTTGCGGATTCTCTAGAGGTCACAATTTTTTTTCTGATTTTAAAAACCGTTTAAATATATCACCATTCCACCATAATAAAGGTTGAATTCGAATTTCGGGAAAATGGAAATGAAACTGACCCGACAAATGGCCGCTATTTGTACGCAAATTGTGTAAAAGTATGTTACGAAGGTTGTGGACCCTCTAGAGGTCACAATGTTTATCCGATTTTGATGAAACTTAAAACATATCTCTATATCCCAAAGATCTCAGCCTTTTTGATTTTTGCGCATTTCAGACCATAACTTTCTGGATTATTGTGCCTGATTGTACAAATAATCCTGTTTGTTTTTAGCTTGTTCTCTATCCATCTTTGGCAAAATGTGGGCATATCCTGCCTGGCAGCCCAGCCGCTGGTTAACTCTCTTTTAACTTCTTTTAAAACTCTTTTTTGTCTTGGAAACAAACTGCAAAGCCCAACAAGATATCTGAGTAGCAATCTAAAATCTATTTGACTATTGAAAAGGGAGATAACTGCCTAAATACTTTAATTTTCTGTAAATATTCATTGCAATTATTATACTGATGTGCTGCTAATTGACGATATTAGGTTTGTATTTTTATACGCCCACATTGAAATGTGGTCGTATATTGTTGTCGCCCCCGTCCGTCAGTCCGTCCGACGAAGAAGCCTATTGATTTTCAGCAATATTCAATAATTACTGCCAGATCTTATACACAGTGTATAAGGTCATGAGACAAAGAAGCCTATTGATTTTCAGCGATTTCTGATAATTACTGCCAGAGTTATGGCCCTTGATCACTTCAAAAAATCTTGTGGACGCTCTAGAGGCCAAAGTTAATATCCGATTGATCTTAAATTTATACACAGTGTTTAAGGTCATGAGACGAAGAAGCCTATCGATTTTCAGCGATTTCCGATAATTACTGCCAGAGTTATGGCCCTTGATCACTTCAAAAAATCTTGTGGACGCTCTACAGGCCAAAGTTAATATCTGATTGGCTTTAAATTCATACACAGTGTTTATGGTCATGAGACGAAGAAGCCTATTGATTTTTAGCAATTTCCGATAATTACTGCCAGAGTTATAGCCCTTGATCACTTTGAAAAATCTTGTTGAAGCTCTAGAGGCTAAAGTTAATATCCGATTGACTTTAAATTTATACACAGTGTTTAAGGTCATGAGACGAAGAAGCCTATTGATTTTCAGCGATTTCCGATAATTACTGCCAGAGTTATGGCCCTTAATCACTTTGAAAAATCTTGTGGATGCTTTAGAGGTCAAAGTTAATATCCGATTGACTTTAAATTTATACACAGTGTTTAACATCACGAGACGAAGAAGCCTTTTGATTTTCAGCAATTTCCGATAATTACTGCCAGAGTTATGGCCCTTGATCACTTTGAAAAATCTTGTGGACGCTCTAGAGGCCAAAGTTAATATCCGATTGACTTTAAATTTATAATCCAATTTTAGTGTATTATAAATGTTTCATTACCGAAAATTAAGAATATGCGACAACTCTTGTTGACTGCCCGGACGATTTAGCTGCTGTGGGCGTATGTTTCGTTGCCTGGCAACCTATCTTTAAAATTAAAGTATTATCTGAAATATTCTAGATTTGAATAGAACCAGCACGGTTATAGTATTATAAATGTTTCATTACCAAAAACAGTAAAAATATGTGACAACTCATGTTGACTGCCCGAACAATTTAGCTGCTGTTTGTGTATGTTTCATTGCCTTGCAACCTTTCTTTGACAATCTATTTCGTTTCATTTTTTATAGTTCAAAATTACATTTTACTTGTCTTCACAAGAGTTGTTATATAACATTGTTCTAGTTGATGTGAGGAATTAGCCAATGACACGGTCTGTTATGGCATCTTCATGTGGTGTAGGCCATCGAAAGTATAACAAACAAAATATAGATCTGTATTTTAATCGGATTGTTGTCCGCCATCCCAAAATATAATTAAAATGTTAAAATTCCAAAAAATAAGAATTAAAAAAAAAAATTGCAATTTTCACCCAAATAATGAGAACGACAAAGTTTCTAAATTCGATCGTTTTGAACTGCTATCTGCTCAGCAATGTCTCCCGCTATTGAAAAATGGAACTATCTAAGAAATCGATTGAAAATTAACAGAATTGTGGATAATTTTCATGCACCTTAAACATACATTATGCAAGAGCTAAATCTGATTATTGCAAGTCTTTATTTTTAAATGGCGTCCTAAGCGAAGATTAACCGTTACGTTGACGTCATACTCCCGGAAATTTTAAATCGAGGCTAAATGATAGAGTGTACGAAGCAAGGCCGCTGTTGAGCGAGGCCGCATGTCAGTCAATTTGATTGAAAGTTCGATATATACGGCCTTGATATTATGTTTAGTTGTGGTTAAAATGAGAGTTTGGATGTCGGTATTATACGATCTTTTGTCACTTGCGTTTACAGAAAATTGATAAACATCACCCCAGTTGAATTGCAACCCCATTGGATCACTGTTTCCTATTTGTCTGCTTCGGGAGTTAGTACTGTAGGCCTACCAGTTACAGTACAAGAGTACACGCAGGCTAACCAGAAGTCGGCTATAATTATGCCTCATTGATTTGGTCCATTCCTTTCAAACTTTCACTTCTTATCTATATATTAAAAGTCTTATTTTTGATTTGTAGTAAAAATAAATGTGATACGAATTGAATTGCAACCCAGTCTCAAACCGGATAGGCTAACGGTACCACAGCCATTAAAAATATTTCTTGATAATCAAAATTATGTAGATGGAGTTAACGCCTGTCAATCAAACGATCGGCCATTCTCCGAGATGGTGAAGAGAGAGTTGACTCCTATTTCTAGTCAAAAATTACAATGGTGATGACTTTGTTCAGAATAAAGTAATTTCACTGAAATTTGCAATATATTCTTCTTTCATCATCTATTTTTGAACTGTTATAGCAAGAATGGCCAACTCTCTATTAAAATCTCCCATAATGTATCTTTAAAGATTTGACGCATTTCCGCTATGCCTAGAAATTTTGAAATAGCTTTAAGGAGTAACCACCAACCATTTTCCCTAGAGAAAATCAAACTTCAGATCTCATCTCTTATAGTTGCTGAGAAAACCCCAAAAATGAGAATGACAAAGTTTCTTAATTCGATCATTTTAAACTGCTATCTGCTCAGTCTTGTCTCCTGCTATTGAAAAATGTAACTATCTAAGAAATCGATTGAAAATTAACAGAATTGTGTACAATATTCAAATCTCATGCACCTTAAAAATTTGACGCATTTCTGCTAACCCATAAATTTTGAAATAGCTTTAAGGAGTAACTACCACCCATTTTCCCTAGAGAAAATCAAACTTCAGATCTCATCTCTTATAGTTGCTGAGAAAAAATAAAGTGCCCCTCCCCCCCCCCCAAAAAAAAAACAAAAACGATAATAATCTTAGTAATAACAATGGTTTCTTGACATACTCAGTGTAGTAGCTTCATATTTAGACAATTTTATATATTATTTATGTAGGAGGATGATTTAAAGTGGGTAGAGGAGAACATTCCATCATCAGTAGCTGATAAGTAAGTTTCTTAATACATTTACATCATTCTATCACATGGCAGAAAGGACATACCTTCAATTAAACCTCATACCACTTCTGTCACTCATCATATTTTTATAATGGAAGTAATAATAATAATAATAATAATATCTTTATTAGGGTAAGAAATTAGGCCAGGCCTTTTTATGATTCTGCCCTTGAAACATAACAAAACAATATAAGAACAACAATGAGATCAAATATATATATATATATATATATATATATACTGCCGTGCAAAGGAAGAAGGCAGTATCTACACTTTTGGTCAAAATACGTTTTTGGTATCAATGTCATCAGCAGTATCTGTTCTATCACATGTAAAATATTGCATCCTGTATCCATAGGCGTACGAGCTGGAGGGGGCTGGGGGGTCGGCCGCCCCCATATTTTGGGCACCAAATGCTGGGAAAATTTGGGCACACAATTGTACTTTGTAAAAGTTGTATAAAAAAATATTGTGTTCTTGAATGAGTCCATTTAAATTCAGAGTGTCTATAGTTAGGCAATTAAATAGAAATCTTAAGACTCAAACCCTCTATTGTTTGGAGTACAGTAAGTCACGAGTTACAGTTACATAAACAACTGTTTTAGTTGTATATATTACAAGTAAATAAAATTTAGTTCTCTTTTATTGATGAATTAGAAATTAAGAACTTATTCATCGCAAAAGAGATATTGTAGAACCTGTCAAATAAACATTGAACTTTGTTTTATTTGGTAAAAACTCCTCAGAATCACTTAAAATGCATATTTATTCATACGCGATTTTGTAAAAAAAACACAGACACCCTTAGCAGGATTCGGATCGGAAATATAGTTGGTACTCGGTCCGTTAGTTTAGTAAAAGAATCTGCACACTTCGTTTCCATCCTACAGGCCTGGTACATGAATCTATACTAACATACTAAGATGCTAACTACATTTTTTGGGCACCAACCACCACCGCCCCCCCAGTCAAAAATTCCCCCGAACGCCTATGCCTGTATCTAAATTAGGCAAAGAAATATACAGTGTCAATTTGGGCAGTAAATGTAAATTGCCCCGGTATAAAGAAGGAGAAACGCAGTAAGTGTAATACTGCCGTTCTCCTTAATACACCTGACAACCCAGTAAATGGCAGTAAATGGAAATTGCCCTGCTATAACTGAGGAGAAAAGCAGTAAGAGTAGATACTGCCGTTCTCCTTGGAACACCAAGACGTGGCGTTGAAAGTAAATATAAACTGCCCTGGTATAACTAAGGAGAAAAAGAGCAATTATGTCAAGTGTTTAGACTCAACTGAATGTGGAAATGTCTCGAACAATATTTATGCTTAAATATGCAGTTTGTAAACTATCAGTACATCACAGAAACAATTAGTAAGTATATGTAGATACTGCATTTCACCTTGGTCCAGAGTCATAAAATGCACAGTATCTGCTTTATCTCAGTCGCACAAAGAAATATATGAAAATCGACAAGTTATATCGAAAGAGAAACAAAATATTTTCTTACGTTCAAAAAATCGCATTATTTTGTTGAAAACTATGAGTGCAGGAAAGTGACAAACTTTACAGTCGATTATCTCAAAATGACGATTTTGCAGATACTACCTTTCTCTTTTGTAGGGCAGTACACACACACACACACCCCCCCCCCCCACACACACACACACACACACCCACACACACACACATATATATATATATATATATATACACATATATATATTTAAAAAAACAGCTGTGGGTATTAGATTAGGAGATAAACACCTCCTGTTTAGAACAGTCCTCTAAATTCTAAACAGGAGGTGTTTATCGATATTGTAGCCCAAAATATTTAACATTTTTCTTGGAATTCTTTCTTTTGCGATAGTTGACTGTCGTTTGATTTTAAAGACATAAATACCAAAGAAAACAATTTTGACGTAATGAAAATATCCATGACGTAATAAGATAACACTCCCTCGCGTTTAATTTGGTTCACTAAGCGACTGTTTAATTGTGTCACTCTGCGATAATTTTGAAGATCGAAACAGAAATCGTAAGTGTATTTTATGTCCTTTTTATACACCCACATTGAAATGTGGTTGTATATTGTCCACGCCCCAGTCAGTCCGGCCGGCCGGCGATCGGTTCGGCATCCACAATTGCTTGTGGACGCTCTAGAGGCTAAAGTTAATATACACAGTGTTTAAGGTCTATTGAAGATCGAAACAGAAATCGTAAGTGTATTTTATGTACTTTTTATACACCCACATTGAAATGTGGTTGTATATTGTCCACGCCCCAGTCAGTCCGGCCGGCCGGCGATCGGTTCGGCATCCACAATTGCTTGTGGACGCTCTAGAGGCTAAAGTTAATATACACAGTGTTTAAGGTCTATTGATTTTCAGCGATTTCCGATAATTACTGCCAGAGTTATGGCCCTTGATCACTTAAAAAAATCTTGTAAATGCTCTAGAGGCTAAAGTTAATATCTGATTGACTTTAAATTTATACACAGTGTTTGAGGCCATGAGATGAAGAATCATATTGATTTTCAACGATTTTGGATAATTACTGCCAAAGTAATGGCCCTTGATCACTTTGAAATTTCTTGTGACGCTCTAGAGGCTAAAGTTATCTTCCGATTGACTTCAGATTCATACACAGAGTTTAAGATCTTGATATGAACAAGTATATTTTCAATGAATTTTGATAACTCCATAATTAAATGTTTCGTATACTAAACGTTAGCATGGGACAGAACTTTATAAAAACCAAATAAATTCTAATGATTTTATGATAATTACTTAATGAGTTGTTACTCTTCATCAGATTTTAGTGTATTATAAATGTTTCATTCCCGAAAAAAGTAAAAATATGCGACAACTCTTGTTGACTGCCCAGACGATTTAGCTGCTATGGGTGTATGTTTCATTGCCTGGCAACCTATCTGTATAATTATTACTGTAGAATAGTAGATAAAATGATTTTCCATGAGAAATACATCTGTTCTATAGTTTTAAGCCAAAATCATCTAGGTCTAACAAAGAGAATCTATGAAAAGTAGCGTGTGGTTTCGAATCCACAAATGTACGTGGCAAGGAGTAGGTTCGCATCTCCAATCCATTGGTTTTCTCGGTTTCCTGTCATCACTGTAGACCTCCTACACACTAGTGAATTATTGAAATAAAATGACATAGTTTGTGTCGAGTGGATTATCGATGCATCAGCAAAAAATACGAATAATTAGCTTTATGAGTCCGAGGAATGCGAGGAGTCACAAGTTCGTCCACTAGAATAAAAAAAACACCTTTTCAATATGTTTTTATAATTCAAAATAAAACAATATATATGTAACGGAACAATTCAATGAATCCCGCACGAATTATTAGGCTTGACCTGTTTACCCGACGCTTCCGTTATGTTTGTCTCCATTTTCCAGTGACTAGGCCTACAAAGACTGCGTTTGCTGGTTACGTTCCCTGGCTATCGTATCCTTTAACCCCAAGGTCAATTTCACGGTTCATTTAAATGACCAAACGAACTGTCAGAAGGATAATATTTTGCGGTCGGTTCTTAACGCTAGTTTTAAAACGATTCAGTCTTATTTTCTGCCACGAGCAATAGAGAATTCATAAACCCCTATAGACAGGCTTTGATACTATCCGTATAAATAATGCAAATGCTGTCTCTTGTAATCACCTCACCCCTCACGCCTTCACAACAAATTTGAACAATGGCTAACGAGTGTCAATTGAAGTGAATCGGACAATATTAACGTCATAATAAATAACAGAAGAATATTGTGGAAATAAATTTATTCAAATAAATCAACATTTCTATAATAGGCTTAATGATAATGTTAGGGAAATTTATGTTTCTATCAGAAATACTAATGTTATTTCTGTAATTTTTGATTAACAAAATGGCGGCAAATTCCTGATGCATCGATGCGTAAAATTTTACTTGATATCAGCACTAGATAGAGAACAAGCTAAAAACAAACGGGATTTTTTCTACAATCAGGGGCAATAATCCAGAAAGTTATGGTCTGAAATGCACAAATATCAAAAGGGACTGAGATCTTTGAGATATAAAGACGTGTTTTAAGTTTCATCAAAATCGGATAAAAATTGTGACCTCTAGAGGGTCCACAATCGTTGTATTGCATACTTTTACACAATTTGCGTACATTTTGTCAGGCAGTTTCATTTCGATTTTCCCGAAATTCAAATGGTGATATATTTAAATGGATTTTAAAATCCGAACTCAATCAAAATTACGGTGTAACGGTGATATATTTGAACGTTTTTTTTAAATTGGGTAATAATTCTGATCTCTAGAGGTACTTGAAGCTAAAAACGCGATTTTTCATACAACCAGGGGACATAATTCAGGAAGTCATGATCCGATATAAGTCCACAACCTTGATATATATATTTTATTTTTACGCTATTTCAGTACGAGGGGCGGCCATTTTGTCTGTCAGTTTTGGTCCGATTAATACGAAAATCAAACTCAACCATCCTTTGGGTGTAAACGTCATATATTCAAACGTTTTTTTAAATCGGATAAAAATTATGACCTCTATAGGGTCCACAAGCTAAAAACATGATTTTTTGTACAATCAGGGGCAAAATTCAGGAAGTTACGGTCCGATATGCGGGAATATCGAAAGGAACCAAGATCTTTGGGTAATAAACTTACATTTCAAGTTTCATCAAGTTTTTACGCTATTTGAGTTCGAGGGGCGGTCATTTTGTGGACATATATTGTCGTCGCCCCTGTCCGTCCAGACGTCCACAATTGTTATCCCATTTTGACGAAACTTGAAATATAGGTTTATCTCCAAAAGATCTCGGTCGCTTTCAATATTGGCATGTATCGGATCGAAATTTCATTTGTTATGGTCGTGATGGTACGAAAAATCATGTTTTTAGCTTGTAGAACCTATAGAGGTCACAATTTCATTCTGATTTAAAAAAACGTTTGAATATATCACCATTACATT